CCTAATAATGAGGACTAACCCCATGATTCAGTTCCCAACACCCAGAATAAAAATAGCAAGTACTTAGGAAAATGTAAGGCAGAACAGGGATGTTTCTAGTAAGTTTTAGGTCCTTGCAGGGTTTTCTTGAATTGCAGTTCAGTTTTAAGCAACAATAGTCTACCTCAGTCCAGTTCTGGACAACTAAGTCCTTCTATGAACCTGGCCCCATGCAAAACTACTTCTGCAACACCTAGAAGTCTCCCTGGAGGCCAATGAGTGCTGTGGGCACTCAACAAAAATGAAAAGTGGGCCTTCTTAATTTCACCATCACTGCAATGAAAGAATATTTATGCCCAGAGTCACTGCCCATTGAAAGCAAAGTGAACCTTCACATTACCTTCAGGAGCTTCTGGAACATACCCATTTCCATGTTAGGAAGATGTTGGAATAATCAGTCCATGCTTGCACATCACTTGGACCCTGCTCGCACACCACCTGGACCCTGCTCAGGGTGTGACCTATGTAATACCTGTGACCTAAGGAATAAAAACATTTATTTCAAAATGGATTTACAGCACTGCAAATGCTTCAGTATCGATTTCCGTAAAACAGATATTTCTTAATTACAGGTAATTGCCCTTAGATAGACATTGGAGCAACAAATCACAGGGCTCATCAAAGATTACACTTTCAAACTCACTCCTGATACTTGCTTGTCCTTTGAAGCTTCATGGTTTAGATGTGCAGATTGAAAATAGAACTGCATTCTGGTGCTAGGGCAAGAATAGAGTCTGCTAACAAGTTCCCAGTTTTTAGGTGGAACCGATAGCTATCTGGACATAATCCATACCCGAACAAAGCTGTTGCACCCTATCCAAGGTGATTTCAATATCTACACTTAACCTCCTCTTTCATACCAGAGAGCTTTGGACTGATGTGCTGCACAGTCAACTCACATGGGACAACTTCTGGTGCCTCACTTATGTGCCATAATGAACAGCAAGTCGCTGAAAGAAGCTAGTGCAGATCTGCAGTGGGGATTAAATACTATGTCTGCTGATTTCCACAGAGCAATGACAATTTAGGCTGGTTGTGGATCTGTCCCTCTTTTTGGAATAATGCAGAGCTGTGATGGGCACAAACACGTGGAAGTGAGATCTGAATGATTATGGCTAGTTTTCTGGTCATCTCCAGATTAGCATCCACACTGAGGCTAAATCTGTATCTTTCCAGTCTTAAGAGCTGTAGTTCTAGCGTACAGAACAAGGTACATCCACTTTTCAACATGAGAACAGTGATTTGCTAATCCTATGTATACCAATGGGCAAGTAGCTGCAACGGCATTCTTGTCTTTTACTGCTGCACAGAAATTGAAGGCCTTACAAGGACAGTCAGATGGTCAACTGTCTGTCAGTATTGTTATTATGACTAAAAGGGTTAGGGAGAGAGGCTATATCAATAATTTAATAGTTAAAAAAGACTCAGAAACCAACACTTTTGTGTGTCTGGATATTTTGCTTTTTTTAGCTCCTTCCTCTTACTGCTTTCAAGCTGACAGAACTCCTACAGGAATGGATATTATAGAATATCTGGAAGCTAAATAAAGAGATAAAACAGGCAACCACAGTGTGTGCTCTCACATGCCCCGAGCTGTAGATTACAGAACTGAGAAAGAAAACCACAACCAAGCTATATCTTAGGAAATGGTCTTGTTCTTTAAAGGGCAAGCAGCACCAAGGGAACAATTGTGTGACCTGTGCAATCTGTGATTTGGCATAAACCCACTGCCTGCCACACTCTGAAGTCAAAGATGCTTTGAGGCACATGATTTTGTTCCATCCGCACGTTCCATCACTAGCCCTAAAGTGAGCCAAGGGCAACTGCTCTTGTAAATACTTGTGCGCCAAGTTTGTTTAGTGGAAACACACGAGAGGTTGTTTTCAGCAGTTCCTGGGCACTGGAACGCCCTCCTCCTTGGGGACTGTAAGAGCCTGGGCCTGGTCATCTTCCAGAAGGGTTCTGAGACCTGTTTTATTTGGGCAAGACTTCAGAAGGCAGGGCTAAGTTTAGGGGCTTTGCTTGGGGACTTTGTTCTATACATATTATTTTATTTTAATATCTATATCAGTCTTCAATGTGTCTATTTTTTATTGTAAGCACCCTAAGCCTTTTGGGGGTGGGGGGAAGGAGGGGGGAGGCAGCAGCATGTAAATCAAATAAAGAAAGAAACAAATACATGATTTTTTCAACAGTCCCTCTATCTCTGCAGGGAAGTCCAAACTTCCTTACAGATCTGTCACTAAAACCAAAAGTACAAAGCCTGACAGGGATTTCCAAAAGCACTTCCATATCTGCCTTGTCTTCGCAGCCAGGATGTCCCACAATAACAATGATGAAAAGAAGCACTGGCACCGTGACCCTGATAAGTGAAACTCATGAGTGGGAGACAGGCCTTTCTTGGTATATGATTCACAAATGAGTCATTCCCAGAACTTGTTAGGGTAAGCACAAACCCTGCCACTTGCAGAATAAATTGTTAAGCCATGCTTTGCCCTAATTTCCCTTCATTAATGAAAAACAAACTAACTAATAGCTCTCACTTAACAAATGCTCTCTCAGTTAGGCCCTCTAAAGTTTGGACCAGGTCCTTTGTCCATGGTTGTAAGGATTTTCTAACAATAAGCACAAGGAACAGCCATTTTGGACAACCTGAGAGAATCCATAGAGAACAACTGAGGTTGATAGCATTAAAGCAAGAGAAACTATTGAACACATATCTACATCATTTTCCTAGAACAGCAGCTAGAACCTGAAGTAGCAGCACCTTTATCTGCCCCATGCAGTCAAGAACCTCCTCTTCTAAAATGCAAGGGAACTTCTAGCCTCTTTAGCTTGGACCACATCCTTGCCTATACAGACTGCTCAACACAATCAACATGTATGTGTTCCTGAAGCCTCTGGATGCACATATGGCAGGAGGAAACTTCCAGCAAACTGCTTATCCTGTTTGCGGCCCCTGTTCGCTGGCTCCCTGGCTCTCCTTATTGAATTTCTCCTTATTGAACCTCAGGAGAATTCTTTTAGTCCAGTTCTCCAATTTATCTAGGTCTCTCTGAATCCTAGCTCTACCCTCCAATGTATCTACTACTCTCCCCAGCTTGGTGTCATCTGCAAACTTACTAAAAATGCACTTCATCCCATCTTCCAGGTCATTGATGAAGATATTGAACAAAATTGGACCCAGGACTAACCTCTGGGGCACTCCACTTGATACTGGCTGCCAACTAGACATACAGCCATTGATTACTATCCTTTGAGCCTAATGATCCAACCAGTTTTCTATCCATCTTCCAGTCCATTCATCCAATCCATATATCCTTAGCTTGTTTGTGAGAACGTTGTGGGAGACTATATCAAAAGTATTGCTAAAGTCAAGGTATATCATGTCTGCTGTTCTTCCCACACCCACAGAACCATCATAGAACATAATCAGGTTATTGTCATCTCATCATAGAAGACAATCAGGTTGTTGAGGCATAAATGACTTACCCTACATGAATCTATGCTGACTGTTTATAAATACCTTCTTTTTCCTCCAAGTGATTAGAAATGGATTCCTTGAGGTCTTGCTCCATGATATTTCCAGGGATGGAGGTGAGGGTTTTCCTCCAAGTGATTAGAAATGGATTCCTTGAGGTCTTGCTCCATGATATTTCCAGGGATGGAGGTGAGGGTGAGGGTGACCAGTCTGCCACAAACCCCTGGTGGCATTCATGGCACCCAAAGTCTTGGATAGTCTTCTACCTGGAATCCTGAGGTTCTGGGGTTCAGGTAAGACATGCAATGCCTTTTTTTCTGGGTCTGGATGAATTCCATTTTTGTTAATGACATGTCCAACAGGACACAACTTCCAAAAGACTTACAACCACAGTGGCAGGACCAAAATGGCTTCCACAGGCACTTCAGGAAGAAAGGCTTTTGAAAATCCAGGAGGGGCACCAGGGCATAAACAAAAGCAGAGCAAGAGCACAACAATCTATGTGGCAGCCTGGGCTAAATAAGCAAATTCAAATTTTAGTTCAAGGTTGCGAGAAATACAACAACAAATAAGTCTCCGTTACTTTCTACAAAGAATCAGATGAACCTTGGCAGCAGGTAGCAATGGATTTATTTTTCAAAAAAGACAAACGTGTGTTTTACTATTGGATTATTTTTCTAATTATATTGATTTGGTTTTGCTTACACAGACCTCTCTGGCACAAATGATCCAAAAACTGAATTCTGTATTTGCCAGGCACAGTGTTCTTGAGGTCCTTATGTCAGACAGTGGGCCTCAGTTTACCTCTGAGTTATTCCTAGAGTTTGCAGAAAGCTGATTTTCAGCACTCCCATTGCTTCCATCCTCTTTAAATTCTTCCTTGACTTTCTGTTGCAAAGGAGCTGTTAGAGCAAATGGAGTTGGTGATAGTACCAATTTAATTTTATATTTCCCTGATAACTTCCTCAACAATGTGAATACATCTCTGAGGATACATCTCTTGTATATTTTGTTTTGCTATTGAGTCCAGTTTCAGTACTGCATTAAAAGTGTGTTAAAAGGGAAACTGGAAAAAAGAGGAAACATTTTGTCACAACCTATTGATACTCGAAGTAGTTCTTGTATTGCTGGCAATCTTAGTAAGAGAAATGTTAACCCTTGTACTACAAAGAGTTAAAAACAATTTAGCACAGCCATGTGAAGCAAGACATTAAATCACTTCAATGAAGTACAGTATTTCACTTTATGAATGTTAAGGATTACTATTTTTTAATTCAGTTTTCAACATGAACACTGTATGCAAGGGAACTTCACTGTTCTGCTGAAATCAAATTTTGCCTTTTATTCTTAAATTGCTGCTTTCAACATACAGATATTAAGAACAGAAGAACTGAAAAGATGACTTTTGTTGTTGTGAGTTAATAAGTCTGGGATTTGGTTTCCACAGCAACCAGTCCCAAACATATCTGGCATGCATAATGCCAGTGGGAGCTTAGAACTTGTGCGTTCCTTCCCTACGGTTATATTACAAAGTAAAGCACCCCTATATTTGTAAGCTCATTTAAGGGGAGCAGCTGAAACTCTTGTGAACATATCACTGACAACTGACATGAAAGTTTCCTGTCTGTACGTGAAAGTTTTACATGAAAACTTGTACATCCCAAGGTATGTACCATACTTTTCTTGTTGCAATTTCAACTAATGGTCAGGTTATTCATAACATAATATTATTTTAGACAATCTATTGCACTTTATTACTATAATTCAGAGGTGTCTGCTACTCCAAGTAGCATAATTTATTTTTTAAAGGAGATTGTGTTAGATTTCTTTATGCTTTGGCAAACCAAGATGTTACTGTAAAGATGATGAAAGTAACAGCAAATTACATGGCATATCTTATCCTATACAGAGTCTCACAGAAGTCAAAGAATTACAATGTTTTCATTAGTGAGGTATGAAAATTCGACCCACTAGTGGACATACATTTTGATCTATGAAAAGAAGATGAGAAAGGAATTAGGTGAGCAAGGGAGCACGTCAAGAGAAAAGAGATGGCAATTAAGAACTAGTGAACATGTTAATTTTAAGGCACTGAAAATCTGCTATGTGACTCTTATTTTCCAAATGTTCTGCAGTTAAGAGATATGGTGCAATATTTATAGCTAGTTGATGGTCAATGACCCCAGTATTTATGGCTCTTTTTAGTAGTGTCTGAGGACCTCATAGCTGTCAATATTTCTGCCCTCACAGATCTCTTGTGTGATGGGAAATTGTTATCAATGCTCATCTGTAAAATGGGAACTGTTGATTTGGGATTTGATTTCCACAGCAACACAACGACCAAATGATACAATGACCTAAATGATACAATGACCCAAAGTTGTAAGGGTACTTAACCACTGAAGGGATTTAGGTATCTAAAGGTTTGTCTGTGTTGTGCAAGGCAGCATTATGCAGAGATACTGCAAGCTAGCTCTGTGCACAAAAGTCTAAACCCAAAAATGGTAAGCCATACTTACATGGCACTATAACTGAGCTAATTATCTCTTCTGAGAGGCAGTGCCTATTAGCCATGACAGAGCATCATGCTAAAACAAACAGCTATACTGTGCCAGGCTGGAGCCACAGCCTGACCACCGGTGCTGTTCACTCTGGCCTGCCACCCTACATCTGGTCACCCTTGCTGGTCAAGGCTGTCCTCCGTTCTCTTAAAGAGCCTAGCCCCCCTCCCATTCACTGGCATGGGAGTGGCCATCTGGGATCAGCTGACCCTCCAGATCCCCCATATAAATCCCTAATCCAGTACAGGAAGTGTCTGAGCAACAAGGCTCAACTTGATCCCAGATGGCCTTGTTGCTCCTGTTGGCTTGTGTTCTGACTACTCTGTGCTTCATCTCCTGGCTTCTTGACCCAGCTTGCTCTCTGTCTTTGCTTTCTGACTAATTCCCCTGGCTTTTCCTAGACCCTGTTCAGATTGACTGCCTGGCTTTGACCTAGCCCGTCCCTGGAATCTGCTCATTCCTCCAGTCAACACCTTGATCCCTGTGTGGCCTCAGACATGGCTGCCCACAACCCGGCATGGCATATTGCTTCTGGTTTCAGAGGAAAGTGATGCAGAGCTAGCTTAGAGTATCCCTGGCTTGTGCTGTTACCATACTGTGCCATACCCCAGTATTCCTAATGTAACCCTTCTGCTGAGCACCTGCCAGCAGCAGCAAGGGCCAGATCAATTTTGGGACATTAAATATATTTTACCTTGGCTTGAGCCCCCACCCAGACCACCTGGGAAACACTAAATGAATCACAAGGGTGTTCAACAAAACAAGCAACCTTTCTCTCGCAAGCAGTATGGACACAAGCTCTTGATTTATTACAGAAGCAAACACCAAAACACAAAATACAGTTAAAAATGCTGTCAAAGTATACCCTGTAGTACCCCTACCCTATTGGGAAGTCTTTGACCCCAGGCTCAGCAGTCTGAGAGTGGGGGAGTCTCGACCCAAAAGAGGTTAGTTCCTGGGAATGTGATTGCGTCCTCTCCCTTACCATCACTATCCGCTGGGGGGTATCATCTCCCACTGCGTTGTGAAGGGCCCTTCACTGAGTTGTTGTAACTCCACTGAGCTGCTGGGGAGCACCAATCTCTGCTCCTGCCTGGGTGGCTGTGGGCGCGTGTTATGGGTTCCTGCCCTGGATTCCCAGTCCATAACCCACACAGCTACACTGATTCAAACCCTGATCCCCTGTGCCACCTGGTTTCAGGCTCCAGCAGGCATTTCAGCATTGCCTCCCTCCCCACTTCCTCTTGGGGACCCAAGGGAAAAAAGAGACTTGACTCACAAGAAAACTTTTCCACTACTACATTTCTTCAAAGTAAAAGTCAATTGGCTACAGATAAGGGCCACTCACAAGAAGAAAGGAGCAACCAGCCTCTTAGCACACATCTTGCAGGTGGTCTTTACTTTCCTATTTTACTTGGGTCTCAGAAAAGTATATTTTCCATCTAACCCTTTCACAAAGCAAATCCCCTAAGGCCTTTGCTGGGCACTTGTCTTAGCCAGCATCTTTTGCAAAGAAAGCTTGCCTTTTCTAAGAGATGTTCTTGGGTAGTTAAAGTATTGAACTGATGAATGACTTCTCATAGTTTTAATTTTCTTTCTCCTCTTGGAACTGGTAGTAGGCCCTTAGGCCTGCTCCACTACTCTAAAGGATTTCACCCTTGGTAGGCTTAACAAGAAAAACCTGGAAGCACTGCAGCCATTTTCCACCGAGTTCTCTTCCAGAAAAAGGAATGCCAGGAAACCTTGCTCTATTTATGCCACACATTAAGGGCACAGACAGAAGTGACAGTTTTTGAGTGATCTGACCCCTAACAGCCCTCTACAGCTATGACTTAACACACGTGCACACATAGGCAATGCATGCTTCCCAAGGCTGGAGGGGCACGGTGACTGCCCGCAGGTAGCGGTGGCAGTGTCAGCAGTGAGGCTGTGGTGGCGTCAAGTGGGGACCACCCACAGGCGGCCACGCTGACTTCGGTGGCAAGAATGGGCCAAGCGGGGACTATCTGCAGGTGGCCATAGTGGTGTTGGTGGCGGGGTGGGGCAGTGCCGATTGCCTACCAGGGGTCCCCCTGTGGCTGGACACCGAGCCTGGAAATGTTGGCAGCACTTTTCGGGGGTGTGGCATCAGCACTCTGCCTGCCCCCCCTGCCCATTGCCTAAGCAGAGAGTGGTCGCTCTTAGAGGGGGCACCAATGCTCTCAGGGGGTGCATGCGCACCCCCGTGCATCCCGTATGCATTGCCTATGTATGCACAGCTGCAGAGTGCTTTAAAAATGGCTGATCTTGTAAAAAAAAATAACCCTGGTTAAATCAGGTGTTACATTAAGGTGCTTAAAAGCAGTGTGTCTTAGGGAACTTGTGTTCCCTCCAGGGTTAATTTATTGCATGGGGGGCAGGGCTGAGCTGGTCTCCAGCCCCACCTCCCAGACTGTCAGAGAAAAGGAGAGGGAGCTGCTGGTTACTGAATAGCCAGAGCTGGGGTGGAGGTGGAGACCCTCACCTTGCAGCCCCACTCCAGCTGGGGTATTGTGGGGAGCTGGGTCAGGTACTCAAGGCAAAAGGTGCTCCATTCCTCCCCCTTCTCCCCTCAGCTTTGTTCATTTAGGGGCCTGCAGCTCCATGCTGGCTGCTCCTGGCTGCTGAATGCCCAGAGCTGAGAGGCAAGAGAGGGGGAATGGACCCCTTGCCTCAGGGGCCCAACCCAGCTCCTTTGAATACCTTAGCTGGGGTAGTTGGGCTGGAGCTGGGAGGCAAGGGGTCCCCCTTCTCTGCCCTTCCCCATCTCTGGACATTCAGCAGGTGGAAGCTCCCTTGCTGACAGCCCCAAATCTCGGGGACAGGTCTGGGGGGAGCGGGTTCAGTAGCTAGAGAGCCCCCACCTGCTGGCCTGGGCTGGTGCAGGCTGGCTCCAGCCTCCACCCCCCACCACCCCGACCGTAGAGGGAGAGGAGATCGGACTACTGAAATGTTGCTGACAAGGGGTCTCAAAATCCTCATACACATTGATCAGGGATATCCATACAATTTTGGAAGCCTGTCCAACCCTGCAGCCAAGATGCAGTGAATACCCAAGTACATTGGAAGGGGAATTTGCCATCATTAATCTCAAGATTTATAGAATTTATGCCAACTTCTAAATATTAGCTCAAATGTATTGTTATATTTAAGCCTAGTACCAGCATTCCCAACGTGCAGTGTCCCAACTTGGACTGGTCAAGCACAGGTGCAAGTCCACCCAACAGGCTGGGACAAGTGAACTTACATATGTTGTTTAGTTAACAGTAACCAAGTCAATTGTTGCCTCCAAACCCCTTCTGTTCCTGTTCCCTGATCAAAGCACAGAATAGAAATAGGATGGGGTGGGTACACAGAGACCTGGGGTGTCTGAGGAGACGTAAGTCTCAGTGTGATCCTCATGCTAAAGAGGTCCTACCAGCATATTCCCCTCCTGGCCTACAGTGTTGCTATGAAAGCAGCAGTCATATGTGAGGCCTGTGCCCTGTCCCTACTTTAGGACCAGGTTGTCCTGCTCAACCCTTCTGCCCGTAGGCATCAGTCCACAGTTTCTCCATCTCCCCTTTGGTCAAGCAAACCCTTGTGGTTTTTCATTTTTGCCATCTAAATGAGTTCACAGTAACTTTTAAACCACTGGGTAATGATTCTGCACTGCATTTATTGTAAAACAGAATTTCCCCAGTTGCTAGATGAGGCAGTGAAGAAAAGAGCCCCTCTGGGACAAGAAAGGAAATGAAACTAAGATGGAAAATAGGGCTGTTATGCTGAGCATCATAGCAAAACAGGAGAAAAGGAATCACAAACATCCCCTGCAGAAATGAGCCCAGAACAAACTCACTAACATAGATTTGCAGGGAACCTCTGCAGCCCACATTGAGCTCTGTGCTGCTGCTGCCAAACTGGTTATGCAATCACAGATATGCCCTCCAGCAACATGGAGCCATGTGTGATTTTCAATGAGGCCAAGTTAGTTTTGAAAAATTTGCCCTTAATGCTTTCACAGTTTGGAATGGAAAACTGAGATTCCTCAGGGGGAAAGTGCTGGGATGTGGTATCTCTGTTTGAATGGGCTTGCTAGAATGAGTTTGAGGCTTGCTCCCAAATCTTAGTTGTCATTGTGCATGCCTTCAAATTAAAATACTGCCCTGTGCTGAAGCTGCCATATAGACATGACAGGACACACAAAATGAAACCTCCTGCTACCCCTCTCCTCTAAAGAAAAGTTTACACAGCTGGAAGCCAAGAAACTCAGTCTATCCAGCTCCCCTCTTCTTATGTTAATGACACAATGCATTTCAACCGTTAATACTGAGTGAGGACTCAGCAGATTTAATCTTATAAGGAAGGCAAACATCAGTGCTCTCTGTTAGAGATATAACGGAGATATCACTTGTTACAGAGGGGAGAGTAGAATTTCTCTGTCTTTTAACTGGGCAGACCTCAGTCTCGCTACACTACCCCTCAGAGAATCCATTAGGTCTACGTGTGCAAATGCTGCTGGTTGGGTTTACTCCAGAATTATTTACAGTTAAAAGACAGAAAAAATCTAAATGTGCACCCATTTGGGAGCAGATTTGCTGCTTCTGGCAGCAGTCTGCTCCTACCCCTCCAGCTCTGCACCAGCCCCCCACAGCAACCAGGGAGAGTGTGAGGTTCTCTATGGGTGCTACCCCAGGGGCTGGCAGGGAATATGGGGCCAGAAGACACCTGGTAGGGGCTGGGAAATTGCTCCCTGCCACTGGGAGCTGTCTGCTGCCAAGGTGGGCTCTGGTGATGGAGTCCAGAAGCGGCAACATCCCTCTGCCCCAGTAGCTGGGGAGCTGGGACCAGGAGCTCCCTATCGGGGCAGGTGGGACTTTGTCTTCTTTACTTTTAAGGCAACTAGCATGGCACTCAAATTGTGGGGTTGGAAGGAAGCTTATTTCTAGACTCCAAAGAGACAAGACAAGCCCCATTTTATAGAGCAGAGGCAAAGTGACATGCCCATGGGCATCCAGGAAACCTGTAGCAAAGCCAGGAATTAAGCCCACATTTCCTGAGCACAGGCCACAGCTCTAATTACAAGATCATCCTTCCTTTTTAATAAGTAAAAATTAACTGTAAATCAGCAACCTGAACAAAAGGGAAAATGTGGTGTCACATTTGGAAACAGTAAAACGATGAATTTGGGTACGGCCAAGAGTGCTTGAAGGATTGATCACACTGCCTTTGGCCTTCCTAGTTTCAGAGCAATGAGGATTCTGTTGCAAGACAGCCCACATATCAGAGTAGAGCTCTTTCTTTTACTCTTGCCTTGGTTCCTTACACTTCATTAATGGCTCACCTGTCTGGAGTCCACTTCCTGCTATTGCAAGGAAAAAATGACATTGCATTAATTTCTTCTTTGCCAGTCATCCCTATTAATTCCATAGACTACGGTAACTAAATGATGTCATTTCACGCAAGTTGGTTAGACTGTGTTTATTCTTTGGACATTGGAAGGGGGGGTGAGTGCCAAAGGGATTCTTAGTCACCAATTGCTCTTGTTATCATACACAGCAAGTACAACCCTTAGGGTATGTACAGACATTCGGGGAGGTTGTGGGGCTAGATCAAAATAAAAATGGCCACCTGATCTAAGGTAAGTCAAGATGGGGGGACTAGTGGAGGGGGCTTAGGGAGACAAGCAGGCTCTGGGTGGGAGTGGGAGGGGCTAATGCGATCCACATGGAGGGTCAGGGGAGCAGGCAGTGTCCATGGCGGGGATTGGGGTTGCTATTCAGGTCGGGGGTGGTCCATGAGGTTATGACAGGATCAGGGCCTAGTGGGATCCATGGGGGACTTGGCGGGGGTGAGCTTTCTCCCTCAGGACCAAGGGCTATTTTTAGCCCCTGACTCCCCCTTACCCCCAGATGAACAGCCCCTCTCCCAGCTAACTGACCCCTCCATCCACCCCTGACTTCCTTGGCTTCTGGCACTGGAACACGCCGGTAAAACTGGCATCTTGAACAACTTGCAGGATGGGGGATTTGATGGGCTTCAAGGGAAAGGGCTGTCCATCGGGGGGGGGGGGGAGGGAAGAACAAGGCCAGGGGGGGGGGGAAGGAAGAACCAGGGCCAAAAATAGCATGGTGCCAGGGAACAGGTAGGAAAAGCACAGCCCTGGGGCTGGGGCCAGCAGCTGGGTTTTTCCTGCCCTGGGGATGCACTGGGAACTGTAAGGAAGTTCAGGATAGTTAAATCGGTCTACAAATGGCAGACCCAATCTTAGTCAGAGTACTTTGGAGGCAGGGTTAACTTAGATTGGGTCGGCCATTTTTAGACTGGTTTAACTGCCCTGAATTTCTGTACAGTTTACACTTAGATTGTCCTAGATAGGGATATTAGTGTAAGGTCTGCATCTGGGTGAAATAAGTTAGATTGGGTGGCCATTTTTTAATACAATCTAACCTCCCTGAACATCTCTATGTACCCTTAGAGCTTACAAGTTCTTGACTGTGCCATATGGAAGTGCACTGCAAAACCAAATGGGAAATAGCTGTTAATCAGAAAAGCAGGAAAGGCCTTAATAAGGCTCACTACTCTGTGCAAGTGCACACAGGATTTCTGCAGTCACTGGGACGGCAATGTTGACATTCCCTGAGTAATTTTTGAAAATTTTACCTGAACATTCTTGAAATTAAAGAGAGTAAAGCTACCTATTTCCCTGTCTTATTCTCTGAAATGACTGAACCTTTTTATTGAAGTTTTAAGACAATTTATCCTGCAACACAGACCAAAGACGAAAGATTTCAATCTGAATGGTTAGAATTTGATGGAAGAATAATCAACTTAAAGGAGGTAAGCATGAGGAATGAAGACAAACTTCTTAGGAGAGCAACTGAAAAGTTTACTGATGGAGCAGTTCTCTGTCAGAACATGGTGAATGGACAGAAATCACAGGGAACATTGATTTTATCAAAATATCTTTTTTGATTGTCTTTCTGACCATGCATAATATAGTGCAAGCTACAATGTAATAATGGAAACAATAAGTCAAAACATCTACATAATGTCAAAACAAAATAATTTGGGAGGTTTAGTTATGTTGCAGAAAAAAACTAATTTTGAAATGCCAGCGTTTCAAGAAGGAAATTCTGATTTTTAGCTAACTCTGCTTAATAGGAGAGCAATGAGAAAAACTACGTACTCCCACCCACTGCTTATCTTGCCCACCACATGCTTTAATGGCTTTTCTCTTGAAGGGTGTCTGATTAGTGGTACATTTTACAGTGCATCTGGCTTGCCACCCCCAGTAGAGTCTATTTGTGCAGGTTGAATTTAAACACTCACACTATGCATCTAAGGATACTCATCTCTCCCTGTGCAAGTTAACACAGCCCCACTCTCCACTTTCCACACCTCACAGGATGTACAGCTGGGATCCTCTCCTGGCCTCTTCTGGAATTCACTGGGCTCAGCCCTCTTCTTTATGGCAACCCTTCAAGTATTTGAAGACCACTGATGTCCTGTCTTAAGCACGTTTTCTGGCACACCTTCAGCCTCTCCTCATATGACTTGTTTTCCAAGCCCTTGATCATATTTGTTGCTCACCTCTTGACCCTCTCTAACTTTTCTATGTCCTTTTTAAAATGTGGTGCCCAGAACTGCACACAGTAGTCCAGATGAGGCCTAATCAGTGCCAAATAGAAAGGCACCATCACCTCCCATGTCTTGCACCTAATGCTTCTATTGATGCATCCCAAAACTGTATTCACCTTTTTTGCAGCTGCGTCACAATGCACTTATATTAAGTCTGTGGACTGTCAAGCCTCCAAAGTCCTTTTCCATCCAGCTAGGTGTCACCCATTTTATATTTTTGTTTTTTGATTATTCCTCCTGAGGTGTAGCACTTTCCATTGTCCATACTGAACTTCATCCTGTTAGCTCTAACCCAGCTTTCCAATCTGTTGAGATCCTTTTGACTTGAGCTCCCATCCTCCAACATGTTTGAAATGCTTTCCAGTTTTGTGTAATCTGCAGACTTGCTCAAGAAGCTTTCTGTGAAGTAGGTGCTCCCTTTGGGCAGCTTGCACAAGCCTGGTTGAATTGGATAGCCATTTGGAAGCAAAATAGTTAAGAATACAGGTGACATCTCATTGTCTTCATGTTTTTCATGATAACCTACCTTATTTGAAGCACTAATGACCAATGCTTGCTTTCAGGTGCCAGGGAAAAAAATGCCTTTGAAATGCATTCAAGAAAAGAAATTGAAATTCTCTGATTCTCTGAACAGCCGGCGCTGGACATTCTTGAAAAATGGATTGGATGATTTTAGAGATGGCTTCCCTCCTCCATCTGACAACAACATCATTCATGGCACAAAGGGGCCTGTACCAATTCTGCAACACAATAGTGCATCTAATGCTTCTTGCATGGCTCAGCCAAAAGGAAGAAAAAGATGCACCAAAACCCAGATCAGCCCTTGCAAGCTCAGTCCCTTGCAAAAAGCCAAAAGGGATTACATCTCACAGATAGAGTACTGTGTGAGCCAGCACCCTCTGGTGCTCTACCCTCATCTGGAAGAAAGTGTCCCTCCAGAGGTAAAAATCCCACATTTCTCAGTACCCTTCCTTGAAGCATGTATCCTTCCAGCAAGTTGTTAAAACGTAAGTGATCTAAAATGCAGCTCCTCCTGTCACTTAAAAAAAAGAGCTGGTGCAGTTTACAAATAGAAAACCTACAGAATGTGGCAAGATAAATGATCTTAAACAGAGCTTGAGATTTAAACTGTTTTGAGCCACAGTTGTGAGATACCCAGTTAAAACTGAAATTTATCACATTCGTTTCAGCAACCCACCCTCTATCACCGATTTGTCAACCCAAAGCATATGAAACAGGGGGGAAAAAAGTGTTGCTTTAGAAGACAAGCACATGGGGTCATGGTCATGACTGGTGATCTGTGCCAGCCAGCCATGGGTGGCAGCCTGGGCCGTGGCCGACCCCACCACACCTGGGCGCACACTGGGGCTGGGGCAGCTGGACTTGCTTCTTAGTAGCACATCTGGCTACTGCTGCCAGTGTCTGCCATCACTGGTGTACCTGGCCCTGCTGCCTGGGCACTCCACCACTTCTACCCTGCATCCACTGCTGAGGGTGCCAGATGGTGCAGGCGGATGGAGTCTCCATGGAGACTGGCCTGGGACCCATGTGAGCAGGGCATATGGTGGGGTGGATGGGATGGGGCCACAGGTGGGCAAAGAGTGGTGTCTGGGTTCAGGATGGGCTGCAGCTACGACTGGAGTCCCGGGGCCCAGGGCAGATCAGGATCCACTGCTCACACATCCCTGCGACGCACGCCAGCTCCACAGGCAGGGGCGTGCAGGGAGTGCATCATGGCTTTGCCCTGGGCCCGTGATCCCAATCCCAGCCCTGGCCCCAGGCCCACCCATCCTGCTCCTGGATGCCGCTCCCTGCCCACTCATGGCCCTCTCCTTTCTGCCTAGCTGAGTGCAGGGCAGAGCCACTTAAGGAGTTTTGGTGAGCTGCTACAGGCAGGTGGGGGATGGAGGGGGTGCTGATCCAATACGTTTGGGCAGTGGGGGTGCTGACCCAATACGTTGGGGTGTGGGGGTGCTGACCCATCCCACAGCAGCTCACCAAAACTACCCAAGTGGCCCTCCAGTCTGAGTAACTGCCACCCCTGTTTTAAGCCCTCCAGCCAGAGGGGGCATGATGTCTTTCCCAATAAAGTATCTTAATCACAAGACCATAGACGAGGCAAGGCCCATTCCTTCTGTTGAAACAGGAAAAAATATGTGGGGCCAAAAGGAGAACAAACTAGAGGGAGCCTTGCTGTTTGGCTCAGGGAGACTGGCACTACCATGGAAGGGACAGAGCCCAGAGCTCTGGTTCTTACTCCTGCCCCCTCCCCTCTCCTTCCAGTGGTGTTTCTGCTTTTTGCATTAGATACAATGGATAGACCAGTGATTCTCAACCATGATGCCTCCTCCTGATCCTTTCAAATATATCATGGGGTGCCACGTAATGTTAACACTGTTAGGCATGCACGCCAGTCACAAGGTAAATCCAGAGATTTCAAATAGGAATCCATAATGTTAAAAATATTCTGGCCTGTGACCAGGGAAAATATGTAGGAGAAACCAAACAACAACTGCATACCAGAATGGACGCGCATTGACAAAATATCCAATTACCTGTGGGTGCACACTTTTCCCAAGACAATCACTCTCTCTCTGATATGCCAATTCTAATCCTCAAAAGGGATTAGTGCCTCAAAGCTTGCAAAGAACATTTTTTCCAACTATTCAGTTGGTCGAATAAAAGATATCATATCTACCCAAAGAATCTTGCCCGCCTCTGGTCTATTGTGGCCTTTTTGAGTTCTTTGCAACAGAAAAGTTGCTCTATTATTTTTCTGTAGTCAAAAAACAAGTGAAACTTAAGATCTCATATTTTCAGAAAGGTGTCTTGAGTCTAAAAAGGTTAAGAACAGTAATGGAAGAGCAGAGGATGGAGCTGGACTAGATGGGCAATGGAGCTGATACAGTCTGGCCTTTCTTATAGTGTTTGATATAATTGTTTGTTACATGGCATCCTATCCAATCCAGCCTCCATTGGAACAGCCCTGGTGAAGTGTGTTTGAACATGTGCTCTCTTGTTTGACCCCTAGCTTTTTAAAGAAGTGATGGATGTCCTGGACCCTGAAATGTGTTTGAGTTGTGAAGCTGGATGCAAGGATCATGAACAGGAGAACCATGGTCCTCAGAAAGAACAGTACCTGCTGGAGGATGGGCAAAGAAAAGAAACCACCCCAGTGCCCAGGTCATCCGTACTGTGAGTACTGGGCAGGACAGAGTGAGCAGCCCCAAGGGTTTCTCTTACTGTGTCTGGGGTCACTTCAGTGAAACGAGGTGTGTTAAAAGAGAAGGGATGTGTTCCTATAGCTGGATATCTTTCATACCCCGTACTTCTTCATTTTCTGAAAGTCCTACCTAATCCAGTGTTTGCATGCATTTCTCAGCCATGCAGAAGAACTAAAGAACTGGATAAAGGAATGTCTGTGAGAGCTGTTGCTCCCCAGTTACCCAAGTATGGCCTGCATATGACTTTTGAAGTGCATGTTCACATATGAGGAATTAAGTAGAAACAGATAGGCCATACAATGCTACACTCTCTACTGATGGTGCTGCAGATAGCTCTAATGACATTAGTGGCATGAGTGGGAAAGTGAGGAAGGGACTTAGCCCATTATGCAAAATACTTTTCCCATATTCCTCTGTTGGGCAAATACAGCTTATTTCTGACACCCAGTCCCTCTATTTAGTGCTGAAAGTACAATCCATTTAGAAATAAGCTGGACCATCTGTGATCCAACTTTGTTGTGCTGGTTATTAGTGGTCCTTAAGTGTGCTAATCAAAGGCATTTCACACTTTTTATAAAATCAGTATCTTCAAAAGAAAAGAGTTCAGAGGCAAGAATTCATACACATGGCTTTCAAAGAAAGAGGTGGCAGCAAGAGAGAGGGTGGCCAGACTGAACTATATTCCTCCCCTGGATGAGAACATAAAGCGAATAACTAAGGAGTTTTGTGACTGGGTAACTTCTTTGGTAAGTAGAAGAATCTGCAAAGCCTGCAGGCTCCCATTCCAGAAATCCACTGTTTAGATCTGGTGTCAGTTGTGCATAACAGAACTCAACTGATGGGAAGGAATGCAAAGGAAACATCACCCCTCTTTGTTCTGGAATATCACCAAGTGCACTTGGGGCAGAGTTAATTTTATTTGATTGGCCTTAGTGCATCAGGTTATATATTGTTTTCAAACCAGCTTGAAATGGGCCTACAAATGATGATGAACAACACATTTAAATGTGTAAAGATTGGACAGGCATTGTGGCCTAAGAGAGAAAGCTAAAGGTGCATTTGGACTCTGTCTTCCAGGAACTGCAGTCTATGGGGATTGGGCATAAGCCTTCTAAATCAAAGCAGCAGCAAGAAAAGCCCCTTATCTCTAACTCTTACCTTGTGTCCTTGGGTTGTTATTCCAGGGAGGAGAGAAATACAACATGGATGAAGCCACCATCCTAAGCATGTTTGATACTGGCTATGAAACCAAGCCTACCATCTCTGTGCCTATCCACGTTGTTGAACTAAACAATGTGCCTGCCGAGCTGAGAAAGTGTCTGGGGGTTTCACCTCCTCAGACTTCTGCCAAGAGTCCTCTTAATGCAGGGTGCCATCCCTGCTATGCTAAGGTAAACTGGTCAGGGCTTATGTTTTCCAAAGTCTAGTTACCCTGCAATCTTTTAACTGAACTTAACACATTAAAACAGTCTGGTTTTAGGCAATGCTGAGTTCCCACCCTCTGAAAATAGACTTTTTAAAAAGTTGGATGCTAAAAAGTGAACTACTCAAGATCACTAAAGTCTTCTGTACCTTTTGGGGCCTTTACTTTTGTGTGGAAGATGGGAGAATCCTTGAAGGACTAACCACTCAGTCCTTAAGCTAACCAAATTGCTGCTGACTCTTAAAAGTTTTGCTTTTGTATTCAAAACTGGTGCATTAGATGATAGTGTTAGACTCCCATAAGTGGTATCTCCTAGATTAATTGAACCTGCCTTAGTGGTATGCAAGAGCAAAAGGGTCTATTTACAAACTGAGGAAATGGAAGAAGGTGCATGTTTGAGTACAGAACATTGCACTTTTAACTTACAACTTTCACCCGCCTGGTTGGTTCCTCACCTCACTACACTGTCAAATTTTAATCACTTGCTATGCACAAAATGTTTTCCACTGCCTCGAGCTCATATACGTCAAACCCCAAGAGGAAGTGATACTTGGGGACTTTAGGCAAGAGGCCCAAGTTAGGCAAGATAACAGAAAGCAAATCACAACCACAGCTGATAAGAGGTTATTTCCTGTCCAAAAATAGTATTTCTTAATTTAAGACTTTGATGGAGAGACTCTCATTACACCAGTGACTCCCAAACTATTGCTACTAGAGACAGAGACATCATTGCTCCTCCATAAAGTTAACCAATTTAAGAACTAAGCAATGGCTTAGTGGGTTGAAAAGAGGGAGTCTTTAAGAGGAATGTGGCCTCTTACAATACAAAATGGAACCCTCCCTAGTACTATGTGTATTAAAAAATATAAAAGTAATAGCATCCATTTCTTACCTAGGGTAACTAATCATCAAACATTCACACCTCTGGTGATGCTAGGACTTATATCTGCTGTATGTACCCATAGGAGACACGATCAGCTATACTTCACTCATGTACTCAGTGGATTAGATCTGGGAGAAGTTTACTTGCAAGTAAATGCTTGCAGGTAGCTGTCTGCACGTTCAGGGAAGTGGGAGAAGATTTGCTGCTAATGGCAGCAAAACTGCTCCTGCTTTCTAGGGCCCTGCAATGGGCTCCTGCCACCACCAGGGGGAGCGCTAGGATTCCCTTGGGTGCTAGTCCAGGGGCTGGCAGGGAACACCAGGCAGGGCCATTGCACCCTGCCCCTAGGGGAGCTGTTGGCTGCCAGGGTGGGGACAGTGTCCCCCTGCCCCAGCAGCAGGGAGCTCCTGGCCCCAGCTCTCCAGTCAGGGGCAGGGGACTTGAAAAGAGCTGCAGGGGAAGGGCAGGTCCCAGCCCTCACTGCTAGCTGCCCCACGAGTAGATCAGGGCAAGACACTGGGACCTACCCCACTGCTACATCTCTTTCCAAGTCCCATGCCTCAATTACCCAACTGCGGCACAGGGTTGGGACCTGACCCTGACCAAGACAGTTCCCAGCCCCAGCTCCACAATTGCAGGGCAGAGGCTGGGGAGCATGTTCCCTGCTCAGCTCTGTGAGTGCAGAGCTGGGTGAAGAACAGGCTGGGGAGCCTATTCCCCACCCAGCTCCATGCTCATGGAGCCAAGCAGGGAACAAGCTCGCCAGCCTGGTCCCCACCCAGCTCTGCGATCATGGAGCTGGGTGGGGAACAGGCTCTGCAGTCCCAACCAGCAGGGAGCTCCCAGTACCAGCTCTGCAGTTGCTTGAGATCCTTATCCAGATTTGCTCCCAGTCAGGTGTCTACATGAGCGCTACTGCGCTGTTAGTAACTGCAAGTAAATTTGCTATGCATTTACAGGTAGCAAGTTTACTTGCTGTTAGTGAGATTTACTGCACAGTAAGCATGCGCACATGTAGACATGCATGCTTACTGTGCAGTAAACTACACTATTGCATAGTAAAATGTTTTATGTAGACGCACCCAGTATGTGCTTGACTCACACATAGATCAGGTCTGACATTCCACCTGGTAGAGGGAAGTTGTTTACATAGCTAATGTGGGAGAAAAGAGGCAAATATAAAAATAATTAGGAAATATCACTGATTATTTTTAACAGGATCCTTCCCAAACAAAATGGAAGAAGATTAGGTATGGAGCCTGGTACCTTGACCCAAAAACATGGAGAAAACAAAAAGCAAATGAACCTTTGGAGGCTCCAAAAGCACCTGTTGATAGTTTTCAGAACATGAAAATGCGACTTAATGGAAAGGTACTGTAAGCACCTGGAGAATGTATGGTGTAATTTTCACTTAAGTCAAAGAACATTTCCACACACAGTGTTATGTGCCCCAGTTCCAATGAACGGTAGAACGGTTCATGTCATCCACCCTACTGGCTTGTCTGGTACAAACATATCAATTCACTTAGCTTAGGCTAGCTGATGGCATAATAGCAAGTTTATATGGACTGATTCAACTCAAATCAGTGCTTATTTCAAAATATTTTTTTAATTTGTATTTGGCTTTAGTAAATACCAGCTAGGTACTTCCAGATATGGCAAACATTTATTTCATGGAGGAAATCAAGCATGTGAAATAGCTCAGAAATAACTTATTTTTTGGCTGTAATATCCACCATTATAAAGCAATTGAATCCAGCAATGGTGAAGCAGACAGCTACCCTAAGTCCCTTAGAGCAGGGATGTCAAACTCACTTTGTGACCCAGGCTAGATCCGGACCATGGGGCTCTTCACAAGCCAGATCAGACTCAGACTATGGGGATAGTAGCAAGGGCAGCCACTGCAGCAGTGGCAAGTAAGGCAAGTGGCTCTGGGTCAGACAGTCATTTTCCATGGTGGAGACAGCACAAGCTGTGGTGGGCCAAGTGGCCAAAGGGCAAGCAGGGGCTGTTACATAATTCTCACTTGCCCAAAGGCCATATTAATCAGAGCCATAGGCCCCCAATTTCCATAGCTGGCCATACCCCCACCAGCCATGCCCATAAATTCCTTGGCTGACCAGTAGCCTGGTGGACCAGATGGAACAATTTCACAGGCCAGATGCTTGAAATCCATGCCTTAGAGGCTGTGATAAGGCATTAAAATTGTTGGCAATGTCCTGTTGAATTGCCAGAGCACCTCAGAGAGGCTAAGTGATAAAATTAGGTTGATTATTAACAGCAGCAGCAAAAGACTGCTGTGACTGGATTCATACATAGCATAAAATGGAAAAAATAAGCCTATGTAAATGTGCGTCTATGGAGTACATGGACTCTGCAAGTTTAAAGAAAGGTAAAGATACTCTTGGTTCACTAGATGGCAGAGTTTTCAAAATTAAGTGTAAGATCTTAGCAGTGGATCACTTGGAAAGAGAGTGTACCAGATAAGAGTAATAGACAACTAGGGTAGGAAGGGAACTCAGGAGGTCATCTAGTTTAACCTCCTGCTCAAAGCAGGACTGTCCTCAACTATATCATCTCACCCATATTGAGGGTGATTTTTTTTCTTGGATCAGCTGCATAATTGGGATAGTTAGACAAGCTTTCAAATGCAAGACATTCTTCATTTTTACTTTGCTGTGCTTGGCTGGTACCAGTGAGACCTGATACAGAATGTCTTGCATTTGAAAGCTTGTCCAGCTCTATCCCAACCATGCAGTTGGTCCAAGAAAACAAAGCAGACTAAGAAATCCTTGCCTCTTGCATAATTTCTGGACCAGCACAGCTAAACCACACTTACACTACCAGATTAATAAAGCAATTATGATTGCACAATTTTGGCTCACTGACTTAGAACAAGTAGCAGTCCCATTGTTTTGGGTTTTAAAATTATAGAAGAGTCAGACTCCAAGAACTTTCGGAGAACTGCAGAGCTGCTCTTGTGACTCATGTGGCTATAAGACCAGATGGGTTCTCTTAGCTCTACCCCAGGAGGATAAGAGGGGTTTGAACTTCTGTGATGTACAACAATAAGAGCAAAGTCAGATGAGTCTTGCAAGAAAAAAATACCTGGGAATAGTCAAGATCAAGAAAAATTGTAAGCAGGGAGTGGTACTTTGATTATTTGATTATGTTAACAATAAAGGTAAAGCCAAAGAAGGGATAAGTTTGAATCAGATTCTGTGTTAGGAGCAGGATGTCAATTTAATCCGTTAATGAAAACTTTAGCAATCTGTGGACAGCATTAGCATTTACTGGGCACGTCTACACGTGCACCTGACTGCTCGGTCACCACCGGTACTACACAGAACTGGCGCCACACAGGTCATTTCCAACCCTATTGTGCAGTAGCTCATTGCTACTGGGCAGTCACGTTGGCATCACAGTTCATGCCTGCTGACACTATGTAGCCATAGTGACTAGCTACAGTGACAAAGCGACTTGTATAGATGCATCCACTGGGTGCATCTATGCATGCAAATGTTGCAGGGTGGTTTTACTCTAGTGAAAATAACTCTAAAGTAAACCCAGTAGGGCTGTGCAAAGCTTTGGTTCCTGATTCAATTCGGCAGAGATTCAGCTTGATTCAGTGGCCGAATCACCGAATCCGAATCGAATCAGAGGACCCTTTAATTTCTCTGAATCAAATTGGAACTTTCTGAATCACTTTGGAGAGATTCAGAGATTTGGACACAGACACAGCTTTAAATGTGTTTTCTACATACCTCTAGGTAGCAGGGGCTCGTGACTGCTGTGATGCTGGGGCGGATGGAGTGTCTCACAGAAGTGCGGGGGACCCAGCACACTTGGCAGCAGACCCAGAAGTGGACCACAAGCACTTCCACTCCACTTCTGCGCCTGCCGGACAGCACACTGCCCCCCCCCGGGTCTGGGGGGTGCACCCGAGCCAGGGGCCCCCTGGGGCCCA